TACATACATACATACATACAGACACATATGCACAGAGAGGAAGGGAAGGGAAGGGAAGGGAGGGGAGGGGAGGGGAGAGGGGGAGGGGAGAGGGGGAGGGGAGGGGAGGGGAGGGGAGGAAGAAAATATGTAAGTTGAATTCTCAAAGCCCACCCTCAGTGATAAACCTAGTCCAACAAGGCCACACCTCCTAATCCTTTCCAAACAGTTCCAACAACTGGGGACTAAACATTCAAATAGATGAGCCTACGGAGGCCATTCTCATTCAAACCACCATATTCCTCAGATGTCTTTCTCACCAATTTTCCAGTCATGCTCTTTCTAAGTTCTTGACCATCCAGCCAATCCATTGGCTACAGTCCATCAATCAGTAAAAAATTACATATCTGGCTATTCCTCCATCCAAGCAAAATAGGCAACTACATGTACTCCCTAAAGTTTGATAAGCATCGTCACATAGTGAAGAGTTTCTATATAAGCAAATAAAACAGATTAGTGATTTGGGGTGGGGGAGGCTTCTAGATTTGGGGTGGGGGTGGGGCTTCTACATTTTTTTTTATTGTTTTGTTTATGAGAAAAGATCTTGTATGTGTAGCCAGCCTGTTCTTGATTCCAAAGTTTGGTGTCTTTTAAAAGTAATTTCACGAGAGGCCCACGCCTGGGCAGGCAGAAGACATGGAAAGGTCCTGCTGTGTAGGCCAGCAGGCTGTACTACAATGAGCAAGTAGGTGCTGGAGAGAAGGGAAAGAGAGAAGTGGAGCGGTTTATGTGCTATGGAGAGAGGAGAAACTGGAGATGCAATGGGGGTGAGGAACAGCCGGATGTGAGAGGCCTGCACTGCCTGAGGTCATGTGATGTCTAGGCATGTGCTCCCTCCAAAGGCCAATGTTTGGTTCCCTGTTCCTAATACAGCAAGGGTCTGTGACAATGCCAGTGTCCTGTGTTATCACCAAAGGCCATGTGGACCTCCACAGTCTGGGCTGCTACCTGAAGGGATATTTTTGTCCAAGGTCCTTGCTAAGCTAGCTCTGTCCCTCACCAGCCACTGTCACCAGCAGTGATGTGCACACTGGCGAGCTGGCCCTGTGGAGTGGCTATGGGAAAGCAGGAAGGCTTGAACACCTCGGCTACCACCCAGGCTCAAATCAGGGCTTTGAGTTGACCCACCCAGACATCTACTCATCTGTGAGCTGCTGGAGCACACGAAGAGGCTGGTCCTGCAGATCCAAAGCTTCAGGATCCCCATGACACAATGTAACAACAGGATACCCAAGAGGAGTCTCAGTGAGAATCCTGTGTTGATGGTATAGCAGAAGCCAGGGAACCTCAAACCAGAACAATGACTCATTGCAATGAACATTTGCAAGTAAAGCAGTTTGGGCAAAAGGGTGTACCATGTGACACACTGTGACACACTGTGACATACTGCAGCTTCCACAGAGTGACGATTTGTTTTGTTTGTTTGTTTGTTGGTGGTGTTTTTGTTTTTTTAATTTCTCTTGGGGGTGATGTTACAGGGAAGGAGGGCAGATATGGATGGCCTGGGAAGTGAGTGGGATTGGGGTGCATACTTTGAAATTCACAAGGAATCAATAAAAAAATACGTTAAGTAAAAGCGCTACTTTGTAAACATCACAAATCATAACAAATGTCGGCAAGGTAATTTGAAAGCTGGATCTGAACAACAGCGAGGGAGCACAGGCCACAGGGAGAAAGTATGGGTAGCTGAAGATGGATGGCTCGTTATCCTTGGGAACTGCAGATACACTGTATTTATCACTAGTAGCAACATTGCTAGTTTTAAAATAGATGGGTATTTTTAAAGCCACTGCATGTTCACTGCCATATGTCAACCTTTTTTAAAAAATTAAAAAAAAAAAAGGGCAGGTAAGACATTAGCATTCTGAATACTTTTCCAATGACATGGTTTAAAGAAAAATGTATGTTAGCAACTAAGAAAATATCATTTTAGGTCTTCTGAGTCACTGTCATTTTTAAGCAGCCATCTCTACCTTCAATTTTTTAACTTAAAATTACTACGATAATAATGCCAAATCATCACTGTGAGACACTAAGTTCCTACATGGATTTGGGCAGTGCACAAAAAACTGTTCTGCTAGCACGGATATGCTCAGTTGAACAAAAGCATCTAAACTGGAAGGCACTTTCTTGAACTCACTAAGAGATTGAATATTCAGGAAGATTGCTACATCTTTCTGTCTGTAAGACCAACCACAAGAACTTAGAAATAAATTGCATCTTTATGAGAGTTATGTCTCAAAGCCAAATCTCATATTGGTCAGGGTTTCTCTGCCCATATAATGAAAGTCCTCTTGAAACTCTTCAGGTCAGCCACATTGCCCAGGTTCACCTGCCATGGCTACAGAAAGCCCCATCGTATGAATGGACACTGACTTTGCTATCAGTAACAAACTTATGTCTAAAATGTAATATTCCCTAGGGTCGCAGGTTATCCCTAACTCCAAGGCAAAAGCAATAGCATTTCATAGTCTGAGCAACTGAACATGGTTCAGTATGTCAGATCTCTGTGCTTGGCACTCCCTTCAATTGAGGTTCATAGTAAGATACAGGATCAGAATCATCGTTCTTCATAGGTATGACATGGTTGGCTAAGACATTTTGCTTGTCCTAAAGCATCACTTCTATGAAGTGCATCCTGAAGAAGGAGGAGGAGAAGGAGGAAGAGGAGGAGGAGAAGGAGGAAGAAGAAGAGGAGGAGAAGGAGGAAGAAGAAGAGGAGGAGAAGGAGGAGGAGGAGGAGGAAGAGGAGGAGGAGGAGGAGGAGGAGGAGGAGAAGGAGAAGGAGAAGGAGAAGGAGAAGGAGAGGAGAAGAAGAAGAAGAAGAAGAAGAAGAAGAAGAAGAAGAAGAAGAAGAAGAAGAAGCAGCAGCAGCAACAATTTTTCAGTGATACTTGTAAAATTAAGTGCAGGAAGGTACACTTAATTCAGGAGTCGATGTTGGACCACTGCAGTAGAATTTTTCAGTCAAGGAAAGACTAGGCTCAACTCTGAAAGTTGCACAGCCAAGTAGGGATGATGTATAGCCAAGGTACAGGGTGACTGTCAGTAAAGGAAAAAAATCACAAAGAGATCAGAAACCAGGAGGGGAATTCTGACTTCACTGAGCTAACAGAATTTTTGCTACAGTTAGGTCATGTGATGGGGGGGGATGGTGGCAGAGCTGGGGGTGAGGATGAGACTTCCTTGTTAAACTGACATTAACAGGTCTCTTGGCTAAATCTGGATTTGATAAGAAGGCCCAGATAGGTCTGGGAGAGGGCTCATGCATCTAAATGAAATTTGGCATAGCAAAGAGTTTCTGTTGATAAACTCACTAACCTGGGGTGAACAGACAAACAACACAGCTGAGTTAAAAGAGATGTGTGCAGATCCTAAGGATGGTCATTCCAACCAGGGTAACCTAGCAAGGTGGGCCCTGTGGGAACCACGATTTGCAGGAAGAAAAGACATGAGATATAGCAAAGAGTGTGGCAAGCAAAGGACATTCCAGGAATACTAAATACTGATAAGCTGGTCAAATTCCTTGGCACAGGAAATCACTTCATACCAAAAAAGTTCCCCATTTCCAGCTAATGACTGAACTGTAAACAATGCTGTCCAAAATAAGAAAGTTCTGGAACAATGAGAGATTCTGGAGACTCAACCAAATTCACATCATCATTTCACACATGCAACGCCTCAGGGTTTCCCCTCTTAATTTTACCCCACATAAAATTCAAACACCGACTACAAGACTCAAAAATAATGCATATGTCATTCCAAGTTAACACAAATATTTAGGAAACCAGAAACTAATTAATTTCATAGCCCCAGGGCACAATTTAGATGAACTCTGAATATGTTCCCATGTAATTGAGAAGAATTTTCATTGGCACATGATCAGTGGGAACCCGAATTATCCTGCCTTTTATAAGCAAATATCTGGCCAATTTAAAAGAATATCAAAGAACTGCTAGGACTCCAGGGATGAGGACAGGAAGGGCTTTCCTCACATCTGAATCCCAGCCTCTCATGGTTAACCGCTGCTTGTCTTTGCTCTCAGTATGCGCAAGCACATAAAGCTGGTAATGACAAAAGGAGTCAAGATGCCCTATACAAATGAGTCACGGCTCCTGCCCTGTTACAAGCCTGAGTCTTCAGCAGAAACTAAACTTTATAACTCTTCCAATGCTGGATGATGTCAGCAAGCAAACACACTGGCTATATAAGGCTTGGTAGTGATGGACAGGCAGGCTGCTGTCAGTGACACTTGCCTTTATTCACAACTTCAGGGGCTTCTTGAATCTCTATGAAAGTCTATCCTGGGCAGCTCATCAGTATACTTGGAGGTGGACCGACAGACAGGTAGGTTGAAATACTTTCGTTGTTTTCCCTGGGGACAGCGGCAGCTCAGAGTACCTACTGTTCTTGCAGAGAACCTGAGTGCAGTTCCCAGCACTCATGTTAGGCAGCTCACAACTACCTATAACTCCAGCTACAAGAGACCCAACAACTTCTTCTGGTCTCTGAGGGCACTTGAATTCACATGTGCACATACACACAGAGGCACAAACATATATGTAGCTAGAAATAATTTTGAACCCCCTTCTTCTAAAAGTTATTTTAATATTGAAAATATTCTCCTAAAAGATTTGTTTTTCTGAGATGAGATCTCACTATGTTGCCCAAGCTGGCCTGGAACTCCTGGGCTCATGAACTTCTGCTTCAGCTGTCTTAGGTGCTGGGATTATAGGTATATAGGTATACACCACCACACCTGGCTCTCCCAGAAGATTTCTTACATGTACTCATCTTGATATATACATACATATGATATATATACATGATATATGTGATCTATATATGATATATATAGATCATATATATATGATATGATTATACATAATTATTTGTGCTTTATATCATATATAATTTAAATAACCAATACAGCTTGTGTAGATACTGGGATGCTTTTTTACCTGGAGATTTTTTGTTCGACCTTGACTGTGTCAGGTGAGATTGTCGAGGCAGCAAAGGCGATGAAGGAAGAGACATAGAGACCCCTTTGGCCAAGCTCACACGGTATGTGTCCTCTGTTGTGGACAAACTGTTCACAGGAGAGTCACCAGTGGAGGACAAGGCAGGCGTCTCGAAGCCAAAGTCACCTCCTGGAGTAGAGAGATGATATCTAGGTTACACCACACACGACAAGTTGATAAGACTTTAATTCCTAAGAGCTACATTCTTAGACTAGAATTCCCATATATCAGGCATACTGAATTTCTTCCAATGATTTCTCCTGGTCACTCTTGAACTCCATTGCCTGTAGGGAACTCAAGCTTTACTACTGTAGCATCAGTGAACTCTGCCAGGAGGGCCTTTCTGTCCCACTCAACTGCTACACAGAGTCCAAAGCCAGGAACGCTCTGGACTTCCAGCCCCGAGTCTGCGTCTTCCAATATGGGGATCCCAATGGAAGACCTGGACTGCACCCACAGGGGTTCCTGGCCTCAATTCTCTATCCTCCTGAACCCCAGCCAACCCCAACATATCCCAGTGCTCAACACTGAGCAGGTTCCCTTAGCATGTAACCCCCAAATGAACCTGGGAACAAACTAGCACACCATTATGAAACCAAACTTTCTAGAGTAAGCAGATCCTCCAAAAACACAGAGGATGCAATTATATTGTACAAAGAATACAAGAATACAGGCCTCGACAGGGACGAGCCTCTTAGAGAAGAAATGTAGCCAGTTACATGCACTCAGATGATACGCTTTGCTCCTATCTGCCCCTCCCCCGACTTGGCGACCCCACCCAAAGTCACATTCCTCAGAATACACCAACAAGCAACTAAGGACTGCAAAGAAACTTGAGTCATCACTCCATAGATTACAAACCATCTTCAAAGCTCTAAATTATAGACAGTAGAATTCAGAGGAGACATGTAAGTTTTCCATAAGCAAAACCAGTCTGTCTGACAAAGGCTCTCCAACTAGTCCTTGCCCTGACTTCCTAGCTACAAAAGAAACCCAAGTACCACACTTGGGGTTGGGGGGGATGAAACCCCTAAGATGTCTATCCAGGCAGGCACTAATTTTTTTTTCCAGATCTCTGTGCATAAGGCCAGAAAGGGATGTGACCCAAACCACCATTATTCATGCTGCACTGCTGTGCTGGCTTTTCACATGGGAAGGACTGTTAACCGTGCCCCAGACTTGGGGAACATGCTGAGCCTGGGCTCCACAAGCAACTCAAACACAGTGGGCAAGTTGGCAGAGTCAGCAAGGTCTCTTCAGCCTCACCGGGGCCAACTGCACACGAAGCATCTCAATAAACCTGAGACACTGATGAATTACCACTAATTGCCCAAATCTCTAATTTGGAGAAGAAGGAAAGGCACAATTACTAGCCAGCCTTCACTAGAATTACAAAAACACTAAAGGCAGGTGATCAAGACATTCTACCCCTAAGGAAGGAGGGTAAACAGGAGTTAGTGGAGGTCCCTTATACTGTCCAAGTGAACAGGAGAGGTCCCTGTCTTGGAACATTACACCCCTGGACTCTTGAAGATACCACCTCTTGATGTGTGTAACCAGCACATGAGACACTTCTGTAGCTGCCAATGAAAAGGCAGGGCCACGGCTCTGCCAGAGCACCACCTCCCAAAAGGGTTGTAAGCTTAGACTCAAGAGATTCCTGAGAGCTGAAGGGCAGTTACTGTCTGTCTCAACTAGTTCCATGACCAGATCCCACTGCCATTTGGTTCTGTAAGCAGGTACAGCGCCTACAAGATTAAGGCAAGTCATGATAGGAGTCTGACAAGAACATGTAAGTAGTTATAGTCCCACAGTTACCGAGGATACCAGTGCAGCAAGCAAGGCTGATTTCCCATGTTTTGAAGAGAACTACATGGCCCCATGTACTACCGAAGTCACAGACTTGAGCTGTAAGTGGCAGTGAGATAGCTCAATAGGCCATAAGGAATAGTCTCGCTACCCACTCGGAAAGATTTCTGACCCACATACACATGAAAACCCTGACTTCCAGTCCCTTACTTTCGATTGGAACACAAAGAAATGGAAATACTTACACCATCACCAGAAACTTTAAAAGTTAAGCTTGTTCCTGAGAAAAGGGTCACTATCTCAGAGACAGAATTCTCTAACACAGAACAAGAAAAATGAGGGACTGGAGTGCAGATTTAAAGCATTTCCTAATCATGAATTCTGCCCATAAACTTTGTTTGTATCTAACAAACCAAATATTTTCATTAACTGCAAGTCTGTAAGACAGAGCCTTCCAAGGCATGCCGCAGCCATGAGGACCCTCAGCCTTGGGAGCAGCTGGGCTCTGGCTCTTTGATTTTATGTAGGCTGCGATAAAAATGTGACTTAAAGATGGGGTTTGGGGGAGGGGGCACCTATTTCAGCTTGACTTTGCCATCTCCTGTCCCAAACATGCTGTTCTGTTTGGTTTTCCAGAAACAATTAAACTTCCGGCTTCCTTTTATAGGGAAGGTGCGAAGTAGGAGAGCAGCTTTATGGAGGCACAGGAGGCACAAAGCACCATGTGGGAGACCAGATCGCTTAGAGGATGGACAGCATCCTGGAGCCGGAGAGCTTTAACAGCTCAGAGCAGCAGGTTAAGGTCAAAGGAAGCCCAGAGCATCTTATGACACCGAGGCCAAAAGTAGAACTCTGGTAGGGGCACACACATGATGGGGTGTTCCAAGCAGTGGGGCATCAGAAATCCCCAGCTTACCCAACATTCCTCAGCAGATGCTGAAAAGGGTTTCAGAAGAATTAAAGATGTTTCACTACGGCAACCAGCGTGACTGGGCATTTCTTTTGGCCTTGAGTAGACGTTGTTATAACTGCAGCCTACTCTATTCCTCGCTTGGATTAAGAACTGGGAAGCACACTCCAATCACGCTTCCTGTCGCTGCAGCAGAAAAGCCCAGACTGGGCAGGACAACGCATCCTCTCCAGGGTACAAAAGCCATGTTACCAATGACCAGGTTTGCCGGACTCCCCTCCAACACTGGCAGGTGCTTCCCATGGAACATTTAAACCCCATAAACAATCATATCGCCTAGCGTGAGTTCATCTTGGAGTCTCTCGATCCAAGCACACCTCTCATAGGCCGGAAATCGGGGCAACATTAACTGGGAAGAACAGACAGAGCAGCTGGAACCCTCGCCCAACCAGCCATCTCAGATCCTAACACACTGCTGCAGTTGTTTTAAGGATGATGGGGAAAATGGAGAACCCCAAAAGAAACATATTCTAAATGAGCTAAATATTTAAGGGGCAATGTAAAGGGGATAATAGTATCATAGGCTCTGTTAGTTATATACAATCTTGATACACACACACACACACACACACACACACACACTTTTTCCTATTTTAAAATCGCTGATTTCCTGAATTCTAAAAATAAAAGATCAGGAAGGACATGGGGGATAAATGGATGCTTATAAGGTCTTCTGTGTTTATAATAAATCAAAATTAAAATACACAATAATAAAGTATAAGAGTGAAAGCCATACGTACAAAGATAACGAACTCACCAAAGACATCTAATAAAGCATTATAAATGGGCAGAAATGGCTTTTGATAATAGTTCTTTATTTAACACCCCCCCCAACTCTTAAAGACTTTGAATTTAAATTCACAGTGAAAGAAAAAAACATGTGAAACTAGGAGATGAACATTTAAAGGTGGACACACAGAATGGTAAAGTCGGCACTGCAGATTAAAGCAGGAGGAACGCAGGATTAGAGGCAGCTTTTAAAGGAGGGCAGAGAAGGCAGGCAGATAAAAGCAGAGCCAATTTGAGAAAGGGTGGTCCTGAGAGTGGCAAGGGTGAGCTCAGACATTCAGGTAAATAGGTCTACAGAGGCAGGAAATAAGATTTCCATTTATCGTGCCATAAAGTAGCCAGGGAAGGCTGGGGCTAGAAGCTTAGAATAGAAAGAGAAAGATGTTCTGTTTATCCAGTTCCAGAAAACGGGACTCGGGTGATACATTTAACTAGGACATTAGATGTATTACGCCGTCTTATGTGGTTCCCGCCTCTGAGCGTACTGCTTTTTAAACATATTTTCCATCATAAGGTTTTATAACCACATAACTCATATATATTTACAGAAACCTAGCAAGTTGGGAAAGATTTCCTCTGCAAGACCCAGTGTCTTTTTTGAACCTTGTGAAAGGTTCTCTCTTGCAATGGAAAACACTTTAAAGCATCCTGTATCTTACCTGATGCCGTGGCTTCTAGGCCCCGCTACTAAATATTCAGTGTATGCTTTCAAAAAGAAAGGATAAGAGGATCCCAAAACATATCCACACAATCATGACTAATTCTCAAATTAGTACCACCAAAAATAAAACAAAAACCACAAGAAAACAGCTGACCCAGAGGTTCTGGGGTCCAAAAAGTACCAGCTAATGAGGCAAGCAGATCCTTTCACCTTCTCCATGGGGGTCAGCAAATGTCCTTATACTTTGTGCGCTTTATCCTGAAACATACCGAGTAAACAAAATGCCATTTTCTCCCTGACTGTCCAAGCTCTTCCTTTAAAACATGCCACCATGCAAGAGCTACACAGTGCTTTTAAAAATCTATGACCTCAGAAAACCCTCCATTCTCAGACTCCACAGGAGTATAGTTTAAAGTAAATGCTTTCAGGGATGAAGTAGGTGCCCAGACCGAATGCCAGGAGCACCCTACTTCCTCACTTCATCTTCACAGCCTTCCTACAATTCCTAGTTCCCTTCTAGATGAGAAGACAGAGGAGCAGACAGGAGTAAGCAACGTGCCTGAGGGCACCTCAGGCAACTCAAGTTGCCCATCTCCCCGGTGCTGTTCCCCTTTCAGAAGGCTGCCTGCCGAGATACACTTTCAATATTACGTCATTCTGTGTACCCGATGGAGAAAACCAAAAATAGTGTATATATAGGTCTGCACGCAGTCCCAGGCCACCATGAAGAAAGCTGTTCCCTCATCTATTTTTCCAGTTCTGTGCCGGCTGCTTAATTAGTCCCAAACACTCCGGAATGTTCTGCTGGGGAGGTGCCCAGGCCTCCTGATCATTAACTTTCCTTCAGTCACACCTTATGTTGCTGTCACACAAACCAGGTACATCTGAAGCATAGGTGTT